TTATATGGATGACATCCTCTGGAAAACCCCAAAACTGATGCGAGCGTGCGAAATAAAAAAAAGTTTGGCTAAAAAAAAAGTTGTTTTCAGTATGAAATCTACGTGGTTTTGAAGGTTGAACAGATGACACAGAATATGGTTTGGCGAATAATCTAGTCTTCAAATTCATTTCTTTACATTTTCGTCTTTTTTGGTTTGATTTTGGCATTCTAAGACAGTGGTATCATTTTTTGCTACTTACGGTATGTCTTTGCTCATTTTGCAACTGTTTTGTACGATTTACAGTATGGTTGAAAACTTTTTTTTTTTGGAAACGGACGAAAATTCATGCGCGCGCGGATGTCATCCATCTAATCAAATCAACATGGCCTAATTTTTATTTACATTGAATTCTCTCAACACAAAGAATATAGCGACAAATAAAATTTAGTACTAAGTACTTGTAAGGAATTAGAATCCTTAAATTTTGCATGATATAAAACGTACAATGCCTTTTTTAATGAGAACGTTTAAACGAGCAAATTGTAGTACGAGCAAGTATGTTAGCCACAGCGCAATTCAGGAAACAAGAATTCGTAGATCTCATACCTCCATGAAATATATGAGTTTTTGTAAATGACATGTCCTCATTAAATATGCAAATGACCTCTACATGAACATAATATATGCATAGTGGTGTTAACCTTTAAGTAACTTACACATGTCACAAGGTAGAAAATTCCCATCATTCGCCAATATGGAGTCACAAAATTTTCACATTATTTATGCAAATTACTAGTATGCCATCATTTGCATAGTTGGTATCTGTTGATGTTCTGCCTGCCACAGATTAAATAGATTACATTGTATAGCAGTACTATTATATACACCGTAATTATAGAATTTTCTCATTGATTTTGCAAATTAAGTCCTCATTTGCAAAATTTGCATTTAATTATGTACAACTCTCTCTCAGCTAGCAACATACAAAAAAATAATGAAAACATATTGTTCCTATCTGGAGTTATTGGCTTTAAAAGTTTTTACCAGAAACTAACCTGCAGTTCCAGAATAAGCTGCTAGGGGGATCAAACTTACACCACTTATTCCTGACAGGATAAGCTATCTGTCACCAAAACATCAAGACCATAGCATGTTCAGGACAAAATATACAAAAATCGGAAGTTCTGCTGCAGTACCAAGGTCAGCCACCTGGAGGCCCATATTTGACCTTGACCTTTGCCTTCCTAAGACATACCAGCATACCAAATATCATCACAATCCATAAAGGCGTTCTGAAGTTATGCTGACTACAATGTGCGGAAACACACACACACATACATTGTACACACACACACACACAGACGCGCCAAAAACAATACCTCCATTTTTCATGGAGGTAACTAGATTACGCTAATTATGACCTTATTTCCATTGTCAATGAGACAAATAAAAAACATTTACAAAGACTCATATATTTCATGGAGGTATGAAATCTCAGAATTCTTGTTTTTGGCATGTTTTTAGGCTTTTTTATTGGGGTTTCTCTTTTGTACTGGAATTTTTTTTCACTCACCCCGGGGCGGGGCAAACCTATGCAGGAAACGTGACATCGACAGTGCTCCTCCCTGGGAACCATCAAGTTATCATTAGGGATATCCATTTTAAGTTCCACTACAGTGACGTACGGACCCCCTACGAAACCCAAACTTGCAGTTGACATTGGCCTCAAAAACGGTAATCTGCTTGACAAAAATCATGGACGTCGAATTACGCCTTCAAGAGTTATTCCACTAAACCTGCAGTCACCCACAACACGATGAGACAATTCCATAGTCTTTCTGACAAAGACAATAATCATAGCACAAAAGACAAAAATACATATCTAACACTACACAAATATGTAGGTGCAAGAATACTAGAGAACACTGAATGTGTGATTGAACTTTATTACTTTTAAAATAACTTTTTAAAATTTCACATACATACTCAGATAGGAGGTAACCTACTTTGTTCTATGTTGGGCTTTCAGGTTAGGTACACCAGTGTTACCCAAAATGAATTTCAAGCCTAGGGTATAGAATTTTCTTCTTACACAACCAGTAAGGTTCTCACCTGCTTACGTTTCGATGTCTATCAGACACCTTCCTCAGAGCTTCTGACTGGAGTTCTGCAACTCGCCGCTATTTAACGCCAAAGTAGGTGGTGCTTTTGTGGCGAGAATGCAATCCCAAACGTGGCTGAGCTTGTATCCCCCCTCGTCCCGGTTCATCACTGGGGTAGACTTCCTTATCCAGACTGCTTCCAGAAACAACAAGCACAAAAAGAAGAGAAGAAATCGGCAGTCACAGACCATGTTGCCAGAAACAATTGTGTGATAGACTGGGAGGGAGCCAGGGTCATAGATAGGGAGAACAGAAGAATCCGTTGGATTAAAGAAGCAGTCTGGATAAGGAAGTCTACCCCAGTGATGAACCGGGACGAGGGGGGATACAAGCTCAGCCACGTTTGGGATTGCATTCTCGCCGCAAAAGCGCCACCTACTTTGGCGTTAAATAGCGGCGAGTTGCAGAACTCCAGTCAGAAGCTCTGAGGAAGGTGTCTGATAAACATCGAAACGTAAGCAGGTGAGAACCTTACTGGTTGTGTAAGAAGAAAATTCTATACCCTAAGTATCTTCCAACCTGATGAAATTATTTACGTGAATTTCAAGCCATGCCCAGTCATTTGAGCATATAAATATATAATATGCACAGAGGATTACATTTACGAGTCAGTACTCGCTATTTCTCTTTAAAAAGTCAATTCCATAGTCTTTCTGACGAAGACAATATTCATAGCACAAAAGACAAAAATATTACAGTGTTATACATATCTAACACTACACAAATATCTAGATGCAAGAATACTAGAGAACACTGATGTGATTGAACTTTAATACTTTTAAAATAACTTTTTTAAAATTTCACATACATACTCTGGAGTTACCTACTTTGTTCTATGTTGGGCTTTCAGGTTAGGTACACCAGTGTACCCAAAATGAATTCGTTTCAAGCCATGCCCAGTCATTTGAGCATATAAATATATAATATGCACAGAGGATTACATTTACGTATTTCAGAGTCAGTACTCCCTATTTCTCTTTAAAAAAATTGTTTCTCTTTAAAAAAATTATTTAAAAAATCCTGCAAAACTTAACTTAACTTAACTATTTCTCTTCAAAAAGCTGGCAGTCTTCCAACACCTGCGCTACTGTCCTACATGCTAAGACTTGTTTCAGAAAGGTTCTGAACTTCTGCTGCCACTGCCTGTGGATCTTCTTCTGTCCTCTGTACTTCTTGTGCAGAAGTTTGTCTGCAAGGTAGTGCAGCCACAACACATTTGTGTACGGGTGGTGTTGCTTCCAGTTATCTCTGTTTCAAAGGGAATGGAGAAAGAAAGGTGTAAGAGATGCACGATACAACTAAGTCTTGATCTGTGGTACTGCAATATGTCAACACAGGCCACACCAATTTAATTTTTTGGTTCTTGGATTTTTTTCAGAAACATTATATGAAGCGACAGGGCGAAAAAAATAAAAACAGGTCTAGGCATCCTATTATAGCCCCAAATACATTGTACTACAATTCGAGCCATGAAGTCAACACAAAAGGCTGGGTTAATATTTAAACAATGAATTTTGAACTTTTAATCAAACTACTGCTTAGATTGAAAAATTGCAATGACTTTCCTCAACTGTTGGGAGCAAAATATGATCATTTTTGAGTTGATTAAGAACCAGACTGAACATTCTTTTTGGCAAATCAGAAAAAATGAAGAGGTGAATCCAAGAGCCAACAAATTAAATTGGTGTGGCCTCATAAAAAAAATTCAAAAGAGGATGACCTGCGAAGTGATGCTTATAATGATTAAGTGTTGCTGAATATCCATAAAAGAATTAGAAGACTACACTTTATAATATGTCACAAATTTGAGTCCTGTCCCAATTTTTGGAACAAAGCTTTATTCTGACCCAACATAATAACCTGTGATCCAGTCCCTGTGATTCAGCCATACCAATTTCAAGCTCCTTGCCATTCAGCCCCTGGCTGCACATAGAGACTAGGCTGCCCACTCAATAATAATGTAACAATAATAACAACATACCGATTTTCCTTCTTCATCTCTCTGTAGATGTCGAACTGATAGTCTCCCTTTCCCTCAAACAGGGTAGGGTTAGCTGACAGGTCACAGTATAACGGCTGGCCATCTACAGGGGGAGAGAAGCAATTATTCATCATTTTCTTGTTTGCACAGTCATCTTAATTCAGTAGATACGGAGACGTAATTTACTGCCTAATTAAAAATCAAGAATTTGGGCATATCTACAGATTATTAGTATATTTTCGTTGGCTCAAACGTACGTTTGTAGCTTTCATCACTATGAAATCAAAAACAAAGTTTTATGTTGTTAGGAATTGCCAAAGTTCTGTATTTCTTATTTGAAAAACTGTATTTTTTATTTGAAAAAAAATAATAAAAAGGGCAATAAAACTTGACGTTATGCATGTGGTACCAAAAATTATTTTGGGGAACCTTATGTTGATAGATACCAATATTCAGTACAATCCCAGTTCTCTCTCATTCCTTTACTAGTAAAACAGTACAAACTCAAATCACCAAATTAGCCGCCCCGGAGACCTTAAAGTAACCTTATTTTAAATGATGAATACATTTTAAAGGACAAGAGCCAGAAGTTTGACAGGAAAGTCAGGAAGCAGACCTTTCAAAAGTGTTGTGCAAGTTGTGCAAGACAAAATGTGTTTTCTGACTTTTCTGGTGTTGATCAACTGACCCCACTTTCCTGTAGCCTCCTTAGCCACAAAAGGCACAGACTATGTATGGGGCTTTTTTATGGCTTCTATGATGCATTTTTTTTTCTTACGGCATGTTACTTCTGTACAGAATAGAAGTTGTACACCATAAGAAAAGTGCATGTACAAGCCACCTAAAGAGCATCATTTGTAGAGCCTGCCAAGGAAGCTAACTCTTCAGCATCCCAACTGGTTACAGTCCTGAGTTGTAAGTGAGAAGGATTACACTCCAAGTCAGAGGTTTGGGTTTGGGTTTGGGTTATTTTGGGCGTGTTTTTAGGCTTTTTTATTGGGGTTTCTCTTTTGCACTGGAATTTTTTTTCACTCAAACCTATGCAGGAAAGGTGACAGTGCTCCTCCCCGGGAACCATCAAGTTATCATTAGGGATATCCATTTTACTGTGGTGGATTATCACACATCTAGCCAGTCAGAAAGGCATTCATTCGGCCACACGCCTGCTGCTGACTGTACCTATTCATACGTCTGGTTCACACCTTGCAGAACGACTGTAATGTGTTGAAGTGATTAGGTTTATAGCTTATTGAAGCTTTCGACTGCCGGCAGAGGTTGGGTTTGGTGGGAAAAAAAATTCCAGTGCAAAAGAGAAACCCCAAAAAAAAGCCTAAAAACTGAATGCCAAAAATAACCCAAACCCAAACCTGCTTGGAGATTAGAGAAGGATATCTCTTCACACCAACTCACCCTTGTGTATCCTGGAGAGCGTGAAGTCAATAATGTTCACATCCAGTCCTCTGGTGTCCACACACACCTCCTCCCCTGCCAGGTGGTGGGTGGAGCTTTGTTCCCCGACTTTCCTCACCAGCACGTTTCCCCAGTGGAGGTCCCGGTGTTCAAACTGGAGAGCAGCCTCCGCAACAGCCAGGGCGATGGTGATCTGGTGCAGAACAGCCTTGGCTTCCCTCAGACTGTAGAACTACAGGAGAGAAACAGCTTGTTTTCTAAGGAAACTGAAGCAAGATGCGACATTTTCATGTTTACCGAAGGAAATCGAAAAATTGTTTTTGCTACGTTTCCTCTTCCTCTTCTTCTCCAAACACTAACCTCTGACCTGGCCAATGACCTGATTTGTTGATGTCTGTCACCATGGTAACTGGTGTTGGGTTACATAATGTTGCAATGTTATAGGAGGGGTTTAGACTCCTGTCTGACCATATATATGAATGTATTTGAGTAAGAATTAACAGAGCAGACCATATGCGAAGGTAAACATTATGCATTTGCTTTGCAAATGTTACTTTTCCAGTTGTATTTAATTTTATTTTATTGAAATCACAAAAATGCAATATAATGGGCTACTAGGCAGCTTGGTGATATTGGTTGCCATCAGTTGAACAAATACATCTATCAAACAGACATATGATTTGTCTTCTCCATAGTAAGATTGTATCTAATACACTAGAGACTTGTATTATAAACAACACAGTAATACATGAGCTTACAGAACATCAAATAAGACAACTTTTTGCTGTCCATTATGTCACCTCTACATCCTTCTGGGCATGCTGAAACATCAAAGTAATTTGTAAACATAAGGCCACACCGGCTTAATTTTATGGATGACATCCTCCGAAGACACACAAACCAGTGAGAGCGGGCGAATGAAAAAAAATCTGACCCAAAAAAAAATGCTACTGAAGCACAGGAATACAAGGCTCAGTGAATTTGAGGCAGTACATAGAGAGGTATTCGACAAGCCGACAAATGCTGGCTTTTTGCGGAATTTACGAGTCGGCACTGTACGCATGTACTGAGTTCTTGAGTCGTGGAGCTTCGGCATCCTGGGTGCCATCCTCTTACCACCGGCTCCCTATTGCCGCTAAGAGCCAGGCCAGAGCCTTGGAGGACGTGATCTTTTTTTTTTTTGAGAACAGGCGAAAATCAATGCGCGCGCGGATGTCATCCGTAAAATTAAGTCGGTGTGGCCTAATATACATAAGAATAATACCTGGTAGTGTTCCAGATCACAGCCCCCATCCTCGGACTCCAGCACAACGAACAGCTGGGAGCGTGGAAACATGTCTGGCTTGTCGTTCTCTGACCCTCCTGCCTTCTCCTGGTGCCACTGGTCCCACATGGCCAGCAGGTGGTCCGGCCAGGCGCCCTGAACCAGACACACACGGTGCAGGTGGATGAAACCACCTGTCTGGTTACCTGTCTGGTTGTCCTTTAGCTCACTCAACTCCCTGCAAAATGTTCACAACAACATCAGTACAATAGTAGCTTAAAATAGGTAACCCTTCACAAATATATGCACCCACAGTAAAAAATTAGGAGCGCAGCTCCAGTTTTGGGTGCACAAAAGTGTGTATGCCGCCAGTACACCTGGTATTTACTAGAAACTCTTACATTCATCAAGTCAATGTCTTATATCAACATCAAAGCATTTTAACTGAACTTGTAATGATACACATATTACTTGTATCAAGCAACACACATACCTTGAGATGACGATTTCAGGCAGGATCTCTTCAAAGGTTTTCTGAGGCTGGTCATTGACAGGGAAATCCCCTTCAATGGGAATGATCTAGGGAATAGAAGAGGGTCAGATAATAAAACAGTGCACGGATTTGACTGTTTTCATTTTGATTTTCTAGTTCAGAATTTTCTTTTAATGTAAAAAAAAAAATCGACTTGGTGTTACACAAACATATGTATGGAGTGAATTCTATTGTTGGCTAGAGATCAGCAAAATATAAGTGTGTTAGATGCAATCACAATCACTGCTGACTTCATTGATTTCCTGCAAAAATCTAGCTATCATAAGTGCAATATTTATGTTTCCCACCTTGAGTACTACTGAACTGCCATCATCTCTCCTGGTGCGAAAGACTTCCCCGAACACGCCCTCCCCGATTTTCACACAGCGCTCCATCATGGTTTCTGGTATACACTCCTGAAATGGTGGCAACATGAACATGTGGAGTGAGGGAAACAATAGCTACTTACACCACTCAGCAGCGGTAAATACGACAAACAAAGACATGTACTCATGAACGAAATCGACATTGTGTATGAAACATACGGCACCAGCAAAGAAACAAGAGTGGTGGACCTCGTAACCCTTGCAGGAATGAGGGAGGACTTAAACGACGAAGCGAACAGAGACATGTATTTAGCCCTTTCAAAATACATTGAGACCACGTCATGGTTCTCAAATGAATACTAAGGGCCAACAGCCATCATACGCCTGCGCGAAGTACCAGAGCAAAAGCACCAGTGAGGACAAAACCATCAACGCACTACGAAGAGAAAAGCACCTAGCGACTTCGTCTAGCGAGAAAAATAGACTCTAAACAAGGACAACAACAACAACAACAACATGCAAGGTCTTCATTCTCCAGCCCAACAACAGATCATATACATTTAACATCTAACCACATCTCTCCTGCTCCAGGGGTCTCCAGCTCATAACTTTGACATAAATACAAAACTCACAGATGCACTGGCCACATGTTCATTGCCAAATTTGTACCAGATTCTGTACCTCTTCCAGCTAAGCCACACTAAACATTCAATTGCTGTACAGTAACATAAAATTGATTTTAATTGCAGGTGTAACTTATAATGTCATTTGTGTATACATCTTGTTCTACGTAACTATTTATTGTTGTTCCTATGTCATATGTCCAGGTATGTGTTAGGTGTGGGACGCTATCAGCATACTTGCTGCCTAGTGAACACTTTGCATTGTCATGTTACAATTCTGAATATTGTAGTAAAAATAATAGACAAGAATGAACATGCATGGCCATGGGTGGCAAGAAAACACAAAACATGTAGATTAGCTCGTTAGAATCATATTGTGCTGTACCTGGAAGGTGAGGATTCTTTTTTCATGACAGTGGGTTAGGAAATCCTCCTGTCTTTTCCTTTTTCTTGATCTAGTCATCATTCTTCGACATTCATTCTGAAAGAAGTGAGACAATGACTCTGTTTAGCTTCAGGACAACACTTCCGTCCACTATGAGCTCGGGTTAATGGAAAAAGGAGTCCAGTCCGATTGGCGGAAAAAGCAGTCCAGTCCAATTTTGGAGTGGAAAAAGCACTGTCCGGTGGTTTCTACAAAATTTTACGAAAGACCATAGGCACAATTTTTTCTTGTGTGTGTACTTTTAGTTTCTATGGGTACTTCGCGTTTCTATGAGTATTTAGAGTTTCTATGGGTACTTAGAGTTTCTATGACTATTTAGAGTTTGTATGGGAACTTGAATTAGTATATATGTGACTCACTATATGCCGCCTTAACCCGTAATTCAGGCAGCCTTGGGTGAGGAATAGCGGACAACTGATTTACACCTCTTGGGACCACCGAAAAGTAGTTTCTATACATACAGGTCACCTATCCACAATAAACAAAAGTTAATTATTAAGGGATTCTTTCTTACAATTGTACTTCCGGTACTAATACATGCTTGTCGGTGTAATGCAAAGTCTGCTATACGTGGCTTTAGCAGGGGCCGGCAGGATGTTGGGCAGCTGGCAACCGTACAGCGATTTAATCAGGCCACTTGCAAGCAGGATCGGCCCTGGAAATCTCATCAGTTGACCGCTTCATCTTTTGACAAATTATTATTACTTATATGTAAGTAATAATCCGGAGGTATGATGATGATGATGATATGTAAGTTACAAACTGTAAGTTCCCATGCAAACTCTAAGTACTCATAGAAACTCATTTTTTCCCATACAAACTCTAAGTACTCATAGAAACTCGAAGTACTCATAGAAACTAAAAGTGCACACACAAGAAAAAATTGTGCCTATGGTCTTTCGTAAAATTTCGTAGAAACCACTGGACTGCTTTTTCCACCCCAAAATCGGACTGGACTGCTTTTTCCGCCAATTGGACTGGACTCCTTTTTCCATTAACCCCTATGAGCTCATGTTGTTTGTACTTGCCTATATTTGCCTGTTATGTACCTATCTCTTACAGGTATATGAATGCACAATACAGTAAAAGCTCTTTCATTATCATTGAAATATTTCCATACCTTTATGAGGGACCCCATGCTGTATCTGTATCTGTATCTGTATAGCCGGTATAACCTAGTGAGTCCTGCAAAAAGTCGCCAACCAAGAAGGTAAAATACGCCAAAAAGCAGTTACTCAAGCAACTGGATATGATTTTGAAAACGTCAGACGTAACCCACTAGCTTTCGTCAGTGACTGAGAGACCAGAGGGGGAAAACTTCAAATATGGCGGCCTTTGCTTTCACATTGCAAGAAGAAATTTAGTTGGCCGAAGTTGTCCGACTGTATTTCTTACAGGAGAGCTGATTGGTCATTTTTCGGACATTTCGCCTGAAATCGGCTGGCGCAAATCGTCTATTTGTCGCAAAATCTCACTATGTTTAGGCCATGTTGATTTGATTATATGGATGACATCCTCTGGGAACCCCAAAACTGATGCGCGCGTGCGAATAAAAAAAAGTTTTGCAAAAAAAAAAAAGTTGCTTTCGCTATGAAATCTACGTGGTCATGAACGTTGAACAAATGGCACAGAATATGTTATGGCGAATAATCTACTCTTCGAATTTATTTATTTACATTTTTGTCTTTTTTCCTTTGATTTTGGCATTCTACGACATTGGCATCGTTTCTAAATGTTTCCCTTGCAACTCATGGTATATTTTTGCTCATTTAGCAACTGTTTTGCACGATTTACAGTATGGTTGAAAACTTTTTTTTTTGGAAATGGCCGAAAATTCATGCGCGCGCGGATGTCATCCATATAATCAAATCGACATGGCCTAAAGGAAAGACGCAGAGACAAGGCTTTCCGCACACTGGGCACGGGAGACTTTTAAGACGGACTGGCTATGACTATATGATACTGGCTACGTTAACCCGTTCAGTCTTAACTGAGTTATCTTTTGCTTCTTGAACTGACGTCCCTTGTGGTAGAAATCCTGTGTCTTTATATTCTGTATTACCGCATAACAGTGGTACATCACTTCAGCAAAGAATAATACATTTGTTCAAAGAAACACACATATTTGTAACCGGAGCAATAACAGGGACCACAATAACAGAGAACTGTATAAGTAATTACAAGGGAACTGTTCGGAGTTTCATCAGATCTTGCACTATCATCTTCTTACAAGTTAGTTAGTGAGTGCGATCGTACCACAGCTCCCATATACACCGATTGTTCAGCATCTTTATGGTTTTCAAAATGTGTACATTCTCCTCGGTTCGATTTGAACCGTCATATGTCCAGCTTACAGTGAAGAAAGACAAACACTTATGAACTCTATCACCAACAGCACAAGTATTACATTACCTAAGACAGTCTCAGATACCTTTACTTTTCTTATGTCATGCCCCGATGCAATCTCACCATATATAGGCCAATATATTTCTAACGCCTTAGTTAAAAGAAACAATGTCATTTCCGAAACAATCAACTGATTTCTTACACATAACAATGGAATCAATTATATATATATCCATTATACTAGTAATACTTAAGTATAGGACAGAGTAGTGTTTAGTTGTAGATTTATAGAACCCCTGTATAATGTTTGCCATTCCTTTTGTATACGATGTAACTTAAGTTCAATTCATATACAGCATGTATGTAGTACTCATTTACGCATTAGTTTAGATTTTAGACTTGTACCTAGTACCGCTAATTGCCATACGATGTATCCGTACATTAGTTGTGCAATAAACTTTGACTTGACTTGGCGAGGTTTTGTAAATACATATAAAATAGGTCATTACAATATATACACTAAGATACCGTAAAACACAGGCAATGTATCATCGTAGTACAGACGTATGTAAGTCATCCCAGTAATCTCTAACTGGTGTAAGGCCACACCAAGTAAATTTTATGGATGACGTCCTTTGGAGACCCTAAATCTAATGCGAGAGGGCGAAAAAAAACAAGAAAGGCCCTAAAAAACAAAATGCCTAGATTAGAAATATACTAAGAGATGACAAATGTTAGTACACAAATTGAATGAGGTGACACAGTGTAACAAGCAAGAAGTCTTTTATTCATCATCAAAGCAGCAATAAATCAGGTGGAACAGCAGTTGTCGTCCTGTCCTGTTTTCGCGTGACGGGTTTCACGTCAATCTGACGATTTGAGGCACTGTAGTGACTCTTTGGTCATAGTTACAGGAAGCAGAATTTCTTGCTTTTTTTTTCTAGGAACAGGCCAAAATCAATGCGCGCGCGGACGTCATCCATAAGATTTACTTGGTGTGGCCTAAGGTTTACTGTGGCTAGCAATGCATTACATAGCCTGCACGTTATGGATCTGCTACTGATCTGGTTCCCTCCCATGTTGCCTTCTTTCTGTCGACGATGCTACTACTTAATACACATATGATATCAACATGCTCCTTCTACCATCATCAACAATATCGAAACAAAATTGTACACAAAGGATGCACATGGTTTGACGTCATGACGTCAAAACGACGGAATGTGCGTTAGTTTTATCAGTTTTATTTGATGGCATGGACCTCTAAAAGATTGTTAAAATTGATTTGAAAACTTAAAATTATTTCGTTAATTAGCTATGAGTAGTTGAATATTGAGTTGCATATTGAATACTGAATATCGAGTGTTGCATCTATGACGTCATGACGTCAAAATGAAACAATGTGCGTTAGTTTTATCAGTTTTTTTTGGTGGTATGGACCTCTTAAAGATTGTTAAAAATCATTTGAATACTGAAAATTATTTCGTAAATTAGGTACGAGTAGTTGAATATCATTATATAAACAGGGATTCTGGCCCTACAAATCTGTATGGTTGAATCTATGACGTCATGACGTCCAAACAACGCAATGTGCGTTGGTTTTATCAGTCGAATCTTGTGGTATGGACCTCTTGAGAATTTTTAAAAGACATTAGGTTTCTAGAAATTATTCCGTTACTTTGCAACATGGCGTTTATTCTCTATGCATACACTAGTGTTGCGATCCTCGAAAATCCGTATTGTTTAATCTATGACGTCATGACGTCTAAACTTCGTAATGTGCGTTATTTTTTCAGTTTTATCTGATGGTATAGACCGCTAAAAGATTGTTAAAAAACATTTGAATACTGAAAATTATTTCGTTACTTTGCAACAAGGTGTCTAATTGAAACATGTCGGGTGCGGTCCTGGACGGCATTCTTGAATCTTTGACGTGAAGATGAATCCATGTGCGTTGATTCAATTTGATAGTATCGACCACTTAAAGATTATTAATACTCATTTGGTTGTTAAAAATTAGAAGATTATTTTATCAAATGAATACAGAGTCTGAAAGGCTGTGGTTTGCTTTGACATACGTATGTGCAATGTCTATTTACATCCTGTATGCGTGCTCATTTGCATACATGGGACAATAGAATGCTCCCGCGCCTGAGGCGTCTACGAAATAGTGCATACCATTCGAATCGAAGGCTGGCGAATCGAAGGCCGAAAGGAGGGCTAACTTTAGGTTGGTAATTTTCGGACAGTTCTTCCTTCTCTCCTATGTCCAGCCGCCATGCTGTCGCCTTCTTCCATTGCGCGATGCACCATGGGTAACACCACTTGTGTCTAATTAAGGACTCATTTTGGCGCCAAAACTCTTAAGACCTACTCTCCAAGCAGATGTTGTGGGGGAATGATCGTTAGCTTTTTATACCCACGTCGGTGGCCGGCGACCTTCTCTGGCTAATGGATACTGCCTGGCCAATTTGATACTGTCTTTTTGCCACCGAAAGGGATCTTCTTGGAGATTAATTCAGACCAAATTTGGGCAATTGGATAAAGTACATTCAACTGATAGTGTTAGGAAATGATGATGGCCTCGCTATAAATGAAATATTAAAAAGATGTTGTTGAATTTCAAACTGCAGAAGCATCACAGTTTCAGCACCAAGGACAAACACAGTAATGGCCACGTCAGACTTTCTCCTTTCTTTAGGAGTGATACAGTAATAATCGTTTATTTCAAATACAATAATTGCTAATACACAATTGCCACAGCTGAATTATGTTTAACTGTTCACAAAAATGCAACCTTTACAAGATAACTTTAGTTACATAGGAAGTTAAGGCATTTAAGCCTCAAATGACAAAAAGATGGCAAATTGAATACAAAACATAACATAAAAACAGTGAGCATTATATAGTAAATTAATTATTAGATAAAAGCATTTCAAGGTAGGACACGTAGGATGCATAAAAGGTAGATTTAAGTAATCAATAAACTATGTACATATGTATAAAGTATTTTAGTATATAACATACAGTGTGTACATTAAGGTACAAACAAGAACAGCAAAAGTATGGAATGTCACTTTATTGATTCTTGAAGTCTTAACAGACCTGGAGTTAAACTTTAAAATGACATGTATTCTTTTGACATGCAAAACCTCTTTGTACACGAAGGTACACAAAATATATATTTTTTAATGATGTATATGGTTTCAAATGAATATGCAACTTGGCCAAATTTTCAGAGAGTAAAAAGACAGTCGATAACCCCCCAAAGAACATCACAATATTTTACTTCAATGCTGTAGTTTATTAAGCATGTAGTCATGTAAAGCTGGCGGTTAAATTCATCATCACTGCACATATCCTGCACCTCCCCATGGAGAAGAATGGTTGGTTCCACTTCAGTGATGGACTCATTCCTGTACAACAAAGTGGACAAAAAAAAACCACAATCAAACTAGAAAAGTAACATTTGCAAAGCAAATGCACAATGTTTACCTTCGGATATGGTCTACTCTGTTAATTCTTACTCAAACACATTCACATACATGTATGTATATGGTGACAGGAGTCTAAATGCCTACAATGAAATTGCCACATTGTGTGTGTGTGTGTGTGTGTGTGTGTGTGTGTGTGTGTGTGTGTGTGTGTGTGTGTGTGTGTGTGTGTGTGTGTGTCACATTGTGTAACCCGACACCAGTTACTATGGTGACAGACGTAAACAAAAGAGGCCATTGGCCAGGTCAGAGGTTAGCGTTTGGAGAAGGAGAAATGGAGCAAAAACAATATGTTTTCCTTCGGTAAACATAAATATGCTTTTAAAACAACCACTTATTGCAATGATAATTGCAATTATTATTATGCTTCTGTATTTACTACATTCATTAATTTTGCAATATGCTGTATGCAAAGTCTACTACCATAACTACATCCTCAAGGAAAGACAATCCTACAAC